GGGGGGGGGTGAGGGGCAAATGGGATATCATTGGAGCCGATTGACCTCCGCTTCTCATGCCCACAATCAATTCAGTGGAGGTCTGAAACCACCATTACATCCGAGCCCCTTTTGTACGAGGCAGATTCCCCCTGCGCGCCAGGCTTTGGCAAAATGCCAGCACGGCGTCTTTGTTTTTGTTTTGGCTGGCGCTGCCAAGCCATTCCGGTCTGGTTGCCCTGGGTCTCCGAGCTTTTCTGATTGAGCCATGTACTGGTGGTATAAAGCACAAAGCTTGGCGAGCCATTTAGGAGGACTCTGGGGGGATAGACAAGTACTAGACATGTATCTCGTATCCACCATCGATCCAGAAGCGGTTTTCACCCGATGTTTCGTCGCCCCCCAAAAAAGGAAAAAAAAAGAAAAGAAAAGGTTTTCGAGCACAGAAAATTTGGCAAGGCATTTAGGAGGAGAGTCAGGAGACTGTTGGATAGACAGGTAGATGTGAACTGGAGTATTTGATCCACTGGTAGATAAATTTAGATAAAATAAAAGCAATCAGATAAGATTGAAATCAGTAAAGATTAGATTGATGCAGATGAATTGCAATGGCAATTATGGCATCGAACTGTTCACTCCGATTTCCGCTGTCGTGGTCTCCCCTTCAGCAGTGTGTTCTTTCCTGTCTGCTTGGTTGTTCATATGACAGAAAATGCAGCAATGGATGAGCCCTAACTGGAAAACGATGTGTGCTTTCCCTCGTCTGCTTTCATGTTCATATGAAAGAGGATGCAGCAATTCATGATCCCTAAGTTCCTTTCTCTTTTTTTCTCTTTTTTTTGAAGAAGGGTTGCAGGTGGCAGGATCAGATTTCCCAGAGTGCAGCCAGCCAGGCGCGACGGCTTAATACTGTTAAACACCCCGACATTCTTCCGTGTACCTACACATCTCCTCGAGTATCTCTCTCGTCCTTGCACTTCGTTAGTTCGTCTTAAACTACCAGTACTTGGCCCAGATATCAGTCATGGAGAAGAATAGAGTAGAAACATTTCTAGTCGGATGAATTTGGGCGCTCCTGCAGTGGCCGTACGGTTCCCAGAATTGTGGCTGTTTTTTTTTTTTTTTTTTTTTTTTTATAATTATTATTATGACTGGCCCCTCCACTAGAAGAGGTGATAAGAGCACCCCTTTCTAGCGGACTGCCTGGTTGCTCCAATCTATTGGTGGGGAGTAGCACCTGCTGGAAAATGGGTCCAGCGTCCCTGTGAACAATTCAGCGTCTGAACACATTGACATCGTGCCAGCATCGTTAAAGGGCACAACTTTAGGAAGTTCAGGTGGTTTAAGCATATGGTCGTTGAAGTTCATCGTACTTCATACATGTATCAACGTGAAACTTGGCTCTTTCAGCATTGCGTGCTTTCCTGATTCTGGTCCGTTGTTCATATGAAAGCCGATGCAGCAATTTAAGACCCCCTAATTGGAAGAAAGCAGCACGTCGTTAGTTCGTCTAAGCATAGCGGTGGAAGTTCACACATACATGGAACAAAACAAAAGTTGCAATTTCAGACGATGTGAGTACTCCCAGTATGACTTCTCTCTTCATCTAGTATCTTAAGTTGCCGACTGTAGATGTGTATCTGTTGTGGGTCCTGAAACCAACCTCTACAACAGTCTGGACTTAGGACAAAAAAAGAAAAAACGAAAAAACCAAGGGCATACTCACATATTTCACCCTTAGTATCACCAGACTGGAAACATCTCAGTCACGTCCAGGTACCGTTAAGTAAAGTCCAACTGTTGAGTATGGCCTGAGAACAGTAGTCGTATACACTAGAGACTTGGAAAGTAGTAGACATTTGACAAGCTTTGTATGTCTCTAGACAAGCTGCAGGATGTTGATGAAAAACAGTTTGCACAAAGTAACGAGCGGTAGGCAATACATCCACGAACTCGTGAAAGAACAGGCAATAGGAAATACGAAGGAAAAAAAAAAGAGGTAATGGACAATGCGGAGGAGACGAACTCGTGAAGGACGAGCTCTTTTTTTCGATTAACGAAAAAGGGACTGGAGCCTAATACTAGTGTCGAAGCTCTGTGTTCTCTCAATTTCACCTCACACTATTTACCTACCACTACTACTAATTGTAGGCATACGGGGAACCCCGTAGCAGCCAGAACCTTGTTTACGAGAGAACCTTGTTCACGAGATAACATGGGGGGGCTGCTCCCGTCTTGGAGGTGGGCGATACCAGCCAGGGGACAGCCGGTAGCATCAGGGGCAATGCCAACAGGAGCAATCCCTGTGCCTCCCCTCAGGTGGTGGTCCCCCCCCCTCCCCAACGAACATCAGCAGACTCTGCTCAATGCCGATCGGGGAATCCAGTGGTCTAGCATGCCCAGGAAGGTACATGAGCCCAATGGGGATTGAATCGACGACCTCCTGAATGCGACTTGCGACCCTTATCAACTGAGTTAGGCCGCTTTATTTTTTTTTTTTTTTTTTTAAGGAGGGCATCATCCCTTCTTCTTTTGTGTTTTTTTGTTGTTGTTTGGGCGTCCTCCCTTTGCTGTTGAACTTGGCTTATCAATGGCTATGTGCGGTACATTTGTGAAGGGGACCAGCTCCTAAGTGTCTTAACAGATTGGGGTCGGAGGGCAGTTGGAAGTGGATATCCGCCGTTACGTGTGTACCATTCGGGCACATGTGAAGAATTGCAGCGAACTCAAAAAAGGGAAAAAAAAAAGAAAAAGAAGGGGAGATCACGAGTACTTGGGCCAGCGGCTGGTTTCCTATGCGGCTGTTAAACCACCAGTACCTGGCCCAGCTATCGGCCGTGGCGCTTCCCGTATATGCGTCCCGCCATTTGGGTTTCGGCCTGCCGGACCGCATTGGCTGGAGGCCGCAGGCAAAATGAAAAAGAAGATTGCGACGGCGGTTCGGCAGGACTTGGCGCGCAGCGTGCTGGGAGGCTCGGATTCAATAGCTGAGCGAGGTACTGGTGGTTTAAACCGATGCAAGTTTTGGGGTGCGGCGTACTGAAGTAAAATGGCTGGCGGCGCCAGTCAACATAAGGGCTACGGCGCTGCTTTTTTTCTTTGGGCGTGCGGGGCTTTTCCAGGCTTGGCAAGGGAAGAGTCAAAAGTACTGGTGGTTTGACCCCGTATCAAAAGTACGGGTGGTTTAACCCCTCATCAGAGGTGTAACCCTACGGTCTGTGATCACAAAAGCTTGACATGGGTGCGTAAAGGCCTAAGTGAAGGAATGTGGTTGAATGAGTGATTGACTGCAGGACGGGCGGAAAAAAAAAAAAAAGGAGAAAAACTGAAGATGTAAAATGAATGAAATTCAATGAAATGAATTGCGCTGAAAAAAAAAACAGAAAGAATGAATGCATGTACAAAACGAAATGAATGGATTTGAGCGAGTAAGGCTGAGCAAGCATGAGACTGAGGGATTGAGCTGAAGGAAGGAGGCCGAGCAAGCATGAGAGTGAGGGATTGCGCTAGAGGAAGGAGGCTGAGCAAGCATGAGAGAGGGATTGCGCTAGAGGAAGGAGGTGGTGAAAGGGTGAGGCAGTTAAATGACCGAGAGAGGAAGTGAGTGAGAGGGAGTGGAGGTGAAAGCAAGGGAGTGATGGAGGGAGGGAGTGAGGGAACAAACGGCTGGGGGAGAAAAGCAATGGAACACGAAGACAATTGAGCTTTGTCAGATAGTGGAGCGAGGGAGCAAATAAGTGGCAGAGGGAGAGAGGGAGTGGCGTGATTGATTGAGTGAGTGATCACGCTGGGAGACCGGCAGCAAGAGTGAGGGAGTGATTGAGAATGGGAGGGAAGGCAGGAGGGAGGGAAATGTACAGATGAGTGGCCAAGTGAGTGAATGGGTGAGAGAATAAGTGAGGGAACAAGGGAGGACAACAGCGGGAGCAAGGTAGGGGGTGGGAAGGAAGGGGGGAAGGAAGGGGGAGGTAGGGAGCAAGAGTGAGAATTGGAGGGCAGAGAGGAGGGAGGGAGGGAGGGAGAGAGTTAAACAAGTGTGAAGATGAGCAGGCGAGAGAGTGAGAATGGGTGGGCAGAGGGGAGGGAGGGAGGGAGAGAGAGAGAGTCACACAAGCATGCAAATGAGCAGACGAGTGAGGGAAAAATGGTATAGAGTGAGGGAACAAGGGAACATGGGAACAAGTTCGTAAACTAGCACGAGTGAGCAAGTTCGCAAACAAGTCAGCCTTTTTTTTTTTTTTTTTTTTTTTTTTTTTTTTTTTTTTTTTTTTTTTCAATTCAGTCTCACTGTCAGCATTCTCGATAATATTCTGCGATCTTTGTCCTTAAAACTTGTTTGTGCCAAACATGTTGACCAGCTGTCCTTCCAATTCATTTTCAAGAAATCTCAGCATAATAGGACTCAGTTTTTGGTGTGTACTATGTACATAACCATGTGCCAGCAATCATGGTCCAATTGAATTGAGAAACGTTGCATTCGAGTGCGCCCCCCAAATTGCTGCAAAAAGAAAAAGAGGAGGTGCGGCATACTGATACCATGGGCCCCAGTTAGGGCCCGGTTCTGTAGTAGGCACGGTTTAGGCCAAGGTACCAGGTCACGACGGTCCCAGCTAGGTCCAGGTAGACCCCACCAGACCCAACGGCTAGTTGTTTAGGCCAGGTACCGGTCCATCAGTAGGCCCAGCCGACGGCACAGTTTGGGGCGCCACTTTTCAGATTCAAATCGGATCCGAACGATTGGGCCCGATCAACGGTCAAGACCCGAAGGCACTCATTAGCACTGAGGCCGACCCAGCACTATATCAGCTGGGTGCCAGCCTCAGTCGGTAGGTTGGTAGACAGGAGGTTAGTCTACGCGTTAGTCTTCAGGATTAGCGCAGCGCTTCAGCATTAGCAGGATTAGCGCAGCGTTTCAGCTCTAGCAGGACCAGCGAGGAGAGAACGAGCGCAGCGGCAAGGAGGAATTAGCGCAGCAGCTGGAGAAGCGCCAGCCACCGGCCCAGCCCGCGGCCCAGCGCCAGCCTTACAGCGCCATAGCTACCGCATCAGGTATCCGGGAGGAAGGTCGCACCTTTCCTCCCTCCGCTTTTTCCTCCGCCTCTCTCTCTCTCTCTCTCTCTCTAGGTCTAAGTCTACTCTACTGGACCACTTTGAGTATGAAGGATGGTGACGAGTTCTGATGACAGTTGAGACAGTAGCATTGAGACATCGGTTGAGGACTAGTTCGGGATCCAACTCCATCTACTTCTGAAGGTGTATCTGGATATTTGGAGATCGATATCTGGGACACTGTGAGACTCTGTATTCACGACATTCCGGATTTGCGCTATTTATGACATTCGAGATACTATTTTTGGATCCACGGTGTTGACGCCATTTCCCTCTCCTCATCCTTTCGTCTCCCCTCTCCCTCCATTCGTCCGTGTATGATCTCAGACCCTGGCCTGTTCTTCCGTGTCCAAGGCCAGGGCTTTCACACCACTGATGCATGATGAGAGTGTGTCGTTGCAGTCTGAGTCAGGTCAGAGTCAGTCGATGTGTATCAAGTCTTCCGCTGTATTTTTATTAACTTTGTATTATCTGGTCGGTTCTGGGATTCTGCGCCATACTTATGACTGTGTTTCACGAGTATGCAACAGTTTGGTATCGGAGCAGACCAGCATTGGATTGACTCACGTTTGATTGACTGATTGATTGATTGATTGATTGATTGATTGATATCTAAACCTGTACTCTGTTATCATTAAATCGCAAGTTGCAATTTTTTTTTCTTCTACTTACATAGTTAATTAGGTCATTGGAATTCTAATTTTAGGTTTGGCGGCTTTGTCCATACTGCGCACGATTAGGAAATTGCTAATCACGATTAACCTAATTAACGCTAATTAGGGTTAGTCCTACCCGAATCTAACGACCTATCAAGCCTATGGGAAGTAAGTGCCAGCCAGGCACCGCGCCAATTAAGGCAGATCGGGCCTGGGCACGGCCACATTCAGACTGCAACTTCAAGGAACTTTCACCAAATCGCATCTTTGTTTTGCGACTAAAGATTGCATCTTTACCGCAAATGTTGTATCTTCCTACTACCATTGATCATCTATTTACCTCATGACCTCGTAATGATGCTGAATCCTCCCGATTAAATTTCATGAAATTATTTAATTAAAAATTCTGTTTCACTGTTTAATATTGTTTAAACTTCATTGGATTTTTTGTTGCAAATTTAATTAAATATTTAATTTTTGCCAAAATTAAAATTTAAAATTTATTTAATTAAGCTCGTATTTTCTGATTAAATTTTATTTAATTAAATAATTAAATATTTAATTTTTCCAAATTCGAATTTTTTTGTGGGGGAGAAATTTTTTGACTAGTGTCAAGTTCGAGGACAGGGACAGAAAGGGACTGTCTGTGCATTGCTTGCCTCCCTCCCTTCTTCCCACCCCTACTTTCTCTCTCCTCCTCTTGGTACTGCGGACTTCAGTCTCTGGCCAGGTCAGCATTGTGCCACCTCAGCAGTGCAACATCAGCAGCATGCCACCTCCGCAGTGCCACATCAGCAGCGTGCCACCTCAGCAGTGCCACATCAGCAGCGTGCCACCTCAGCAGTGCCATGTCAGAAGCACGCCACCTCAGCAGTGCCACATCAGCAGTGTGCCACCTCAGCAGTGACACATCAGCAGCAACGAAGCCAGGACTACTTGATGCGCCGCAGTCAACGGCTTGCTGAGCACGGATCCGCAGGAACCAAGCCCCAACAGGGACCCAAGACACCTCGGATCCCGCGCAGACAATGCACGACCATGGTCGAAACTGCCGACGTCAATACGCCGGCCAGCCCCAAGAGGTCGGTCACTCCTCCCATGCCAGTTCGGCAGGCAGATGAATCGCAACTCGCGTTTCTCGAACGTCTCTAACATTACATGGAGACTGCTGCAGCCGAACTTCGCAAATGGGAAACGGAGGGAGGCCAGCAGCACGTCAGCAGGCCACAGCCGAAGCTGCAGCAGCCGCACGGTTGCAGCAGCAGCAGGTCGAGGCAAGTCAGAATCAAGCTTGTTACCAGGCCACAATGGACCTCTCAAAAGACGAAGCCGCGTACCGCAGGCTACTTCGACGACAGCATTTCCAAGCAACCGAAGCACAAGAGGAGCCGACCGAGGAAGTATTGATGGAGAATTTGTTGTACACGTGCAATTGGCAGCAACGCGAACTGCTGGCCATGCCCCAAATCTTCATCCCGCTATGACACAACTTTCCGGTCAATAGGCCTGAAGATCGCGACATTGCAGACCGAGAATAGCACATTGCGGGCCGCCAACAGCCAGCAGCAGACCATCAACGACCAGCTGCAGACCATTGTCAGCACAGGGTTGACACGACTGTCTGCAGTTGAGTCGACAGGCAGTGCAGTTTCCAACTGCAGCCCAGTTTTGGCCGCTCAAGCCAAGCAACTCGAAGAGCGGACCAACCACGTGGTAGCTTTTCTTGGCGACATCAGCAAGTTTGCTGGAGCTTCGACAGTCAGCAATCAGCTGCAGATGCTCAGTGACCTCGTTCAGCAACGAACGGCCGCCGTCGTCAAGGAATGGAAGATGTCGAACTTCAAGATTGAGTAGTTCGATGACTACCACAAGACTGATCCGTTGCAATGGTGGATGGCATTCAACGCAGAGGCGGATGTACATCACACCCCACCACTACGGCGGCTTGACTCACTCTTACCTCCAACTCATCGGAGGGGCGCAAGCTTTCATGACTCACATGGCCGTCACGTTGGAATGCACCATCGCCACCCTCCACACCAAGATTTCGTGGGAGGAATTCGAGAAGAAGTGGAAGACCCGGTTCATGGTCAACAACGACAAACGTCACACCTTGAACAAGATCTTCCGCATCTTCCAAGGCCAACGAACATCACGGGAATGGCTGACGGAGTGGCAAAGACTCGTCCCCGGAGTTGAACCTGTCTTTCGACCCAATCCGGGCTGAGTTCTTTGCCCGATCTTGCGACGGCTTGACAGCTGCCCTGGGCAGCGAATTTTAGTATGAGACCTTTGATGAGATGATCTAAAAGGCAAAGGAACTCGTACAATGTAACCGGCGTGAGGCCAATGAGGCTCGCCATCAGCCTGGTTACGTGGAGAAAGGCAAAGGTCAGCGGACGCCACAAGTAGCAGCGGTCCAGCAAGGACCTAGTGAGGACCACGCAGCCGTTTCAACATCAAGTGATGGAGATGTGGCGGTAGTGATACCACCGCAATGCTCACGACCCCGAGGGGGAAAACACAAGGCGAAACCAGCGCTGGCGGACGAAGCACGACAGTCACCATGGACGAAGTTCGGTATCACCGAAGACATGTTCAAGTTGAGGCAGAAATGGGGATGCTGTTCATGGTGCAACAGCACCAAGCACATCACTAGTGCATGCCTCGACAAGGACAAAGCGTCCAGGCTCGGGAAACTGAGCACCACGGGAAGTGCAGCGACATCACTTCCCAGTCCGCCGGACTCGGCTGCCTTGCTAGCAGTCTCTCTCATGTCCGGGGATGACGCGGTAGTCGTAAGTTATCGAATTGACTTCGAGAACTATGCTGTCCAGCTGGTCCGGCCGTTGAACCAACCTCTCCACGTGCAGGATTCAAGCGCATGCGCGATGTTACCGCCGCTGGACAACGAACCGGTCGCTTCGCCAGCCCTTCTATCGGAGGATCCGTCAACTTGGGCGAGTCTTGAGGAACTCGACTTGTTGACAGTTGAGGACTTCCAATGGTTGCCTCTTCCCTCCACTGGTTCTTTGCCAACACCGCATTGCAACCCCCTCATGGCACAATTGCGTGAATACTTGCACGCTGCAGTACCACCTCCGTCGACGGACGGCGGAGTAGCGGTTGTTGACCTTCGTAGCTATCTTGCGAATGTGGACCACGAGCACGCAGTGCAACGGTACGTCGACATTAACGCGCCACTCCTCTACATCCGCATTCAGATCGAAAAGGCAACCTGTAGTGCCTTGATCGATTGTGGAGCGTCTCTCAATTACATCAGCCAAGACTTCATGGCACGCGCCGGGCTAGGCTCGCGCGTTCAAAGGAAAGTTAGCCTACGCACGTCACGTTGGCCGATGGTCCTACGCAAAAGTCAATCGACCGCTGCGTTAACTCCGTGCCCGTGTACTTTGCCTCGCTAGCATGCGAGGCCGTGTCATTCGACATATTGGCCACTAAGTTCGATATGATCTTAGGCATGTTGTGGCTGCAAAGCGAAGACCATCCGGTGTACTTTTACCGACGCACCGTTCACGTTCGTGATCAGCGTGGCAAACTAGTCCCGTGTACGGTTTCGCTTCCTCATCCTTCGATTGGTTGTCACGTGGTTTCTGCGGCGAGCATTCGCCAATCCATCAGCCGACACGACATCGAGGAGATGGGCATGTGTTTTCTTCACGCCCTGCCACCCGGTGATCAGCCCAAGACGGACACATTGGACCCACGCATCACTGAGCTGTTGGACAACCATGAGGATGTCTTCCAAGCTCCCGCCGGAGTCGTAGCGGATCGGCCCATACGCCACGGGATCACTCTCGAGGACGGCGCCGTACGTCCGTGCGGATGTATCTACCGCATGTTCGACGAGGAGCTTCAAGTGCTTTGGGCACAATTAGACGACCTCTTGGCCAAGGGTTGGATTCGCCCTAGCTGTTCGCCATATTGTCCTCCTGTTTTCTTCGTCCAAAAGAAGAACAAGGACCTTCGTTTGTGCATCGACTATCGGAAACTTAACGCTCAAACAATCAAGACCGTCGATCCTCTCCCTCGGATCGATGATCTTCTGGAGCGACTAGGCAGCGCCAAGTACTTCTGAAAGCTTGACCTCAAATCCGGCTATCACCAGATCGAGATCCAACCAAGAGATCGGTATAAGACCGCATTCAAGACGCGGTATGGGCACTTTGAGAGGATCGTCATGCCTTTCGGTCTCACCAATGCTCCGACTACTTTCCAAGCGGCCATGGCAACGAAATTTCGCGACCTGCTCGACTTCACCATACTCATTTACCTTGATGATATCTTGGTTTATAGTCGGTCGTTGGACGAGCACCTTGAGCACCTTCGCGCTGTTTTGGAGCGGCTCCGTATCGCCAAGTACAAGGCGAACCGCGACAAGTGCGAGTTTGCCCAGCAAGAGCTGGAGTATTTGGGCCATTACGTGACGCCGCAAGGCATTCGTTCGCTCGCGGACAAAGTACAAGCCATTCAAGATTGGCCGGACCTCGCGTGTACTACCGACGTCCGCTCCTTTCTTGACTTAGCATGATATTACATGCGCTTCGTCAAGAGCTTCCAATGGATCGTTGCACCATTGTCGCGACTTCAGTTCCCCTTAGTGCCCTTTGAGTTCAACGACGAAGCCCGACACGCGTTCCATACGCTGAAGACGGCTTTGCTTCAAGCTCCTGTCCTAAGCATCTATGACCCGACCTTGCCTACCAAACTAACTACGGATGCTTGCGGTTACGGCATTGGCGCGGTTTTGGAACAGCATGACGGCACAGACTGGCATCCGGTTGAGTACTTCAACCAAAAGGTGCCGCCCATCAATTCTCTTTATGATGCGAGGAAGAAGGAACTACTAGCTTTTGTCACTGTACTTAAGCGTTGGCGTCACTTTCTCCTTGTGCGTCGGCGATTCACGTGGGCAACGGACAACAATCCATTGACTTATTACAAGACGCAAGACACGGTGAGTAGAACGACCGGTCGCTGGATGTACTCCATCGACCAATTCAACTTCACCTCCAAGCATATTCGGGGCCCCTCGAACAAGGCAGCGAATGCTCTCTTGCGAAGACCCGATCTTTGCGCCTTGGTGTACTCCACATTTGGCCTCGACGAGGACCTGCAACAGCATTTCGTAAACGGCTACATGTCGGATCCGGGATTCTCCACATTCTATGCGGACTTATCATCGCATCATCCGCCGGCAAGCAATTATCGCATTGTCGACGACTACTTGCTTCTCCATACACGAGGCAAGGACTTGTTGAGTGTTCCCCAAGACCGCATCTTGCGCACTCACCTCCTTGGCGAATACCACGATTCGCGGCTGGTGGGACACCTTAGCGTTGCACGCACACTTGCACGACTCCGCCAGCGATTTCACTGGCTGGACATCATCAGCGACGTCAACCGGTACATTCAGTCATGAGCCGTTTGCCACCGACACAAAGGGTGTCATCAGCTCCCGTACGGCGAACTGAAACCATTGCCGATTCCTCGGGAACCAGGTCTCTCCATTCCTATGGATGTGACTGGTCCTTTCCCTCGCAATCGCCTTGGCCATGATGGTATTCTTACGGTTGTTGACCGTTTGAGCAAGTACGCTCGATTTCTTCCATGCAAGTATCACGTGACGGCTCCCGAGCTCGCATGACTCTTGCACACCGGCTGGTTTTGCAGCCAGGGCGTTCCGGAAGACATCGTCAGCGACCGCGACACTCGTTTCATGTCAGCCTTTTGGTCGACACTCATGGTGGAATTCGGCACCAGCATGAAACCGAGTTGCGCACGGCATCCTCAAACGGATGGGCAAACGGAACGTGCGCACTAGACTGTGCAGATGATGCTCCGCACACTCATCCGCCCGGATCAGAAGGACTAGGTTGACAGCCTTCCCGACATCAAGTTCGCCTACAACACTTCGGTGCACCCGGCGATCGGCGTGACTCCGTTTGAGTTGCATTACGGTGGACGGCAAGGCCGTATCTTCGCAGACATTTTGCTTCCACGGACTGCCGATATCGATGCCGCTTGCTCCCCCGCTTCTACACGGAAGTATAGGGAACTGCTGGCCAAAGCCCGCGCAAACATGCAAAAGGCTCAGGTCCGTATGCAGCAGCAAGCGAATCGGCGTCGCATCCCATGTCCAATCCGCGTCAGCGACCTTGTTTGGGTCACCTCGAGGAATTCACGCTTGAGCAGCACGCCTCGTGCAAGCTCCTCCCTAAGTGGTTTGGTCCATGGAAGGTCACTTCCGCAGCCGGCGACGACCCTGCGGGTCCCTCTTTCATAATCGAGATTCCCCCGCATTTGACGGTCCACCCAATATTTCACGCTTCAAAGCTGGCGGTCTATACTCCAGCCTCACCAGCGGATTTCCCGGGCAGACGGTCGCACGACCCTCCATCAATGCATGGTCACCAGGAGGTCGACCGCGTCCTCACTCATCACAAGCACAGCAACAAGCCAATGCAGTACAAAGTTACATTCAAGCAATGCGATCCCGATGACACACGCTGGATTTCACGAGCTGACCTGAAGGCGACACTACCACTCATCTTCAGGCATTACAGAAAACAGCGACTTGCTAAGGAAGCTGCCCAACCCGCCCGCCCCGTACGGACATCGGACAGACAGCTTCGCCCTCGCAGTTAGCTCGGTCTTCAAGGGGGGGAGTGTGTGGCATACTGATACCACACGGGCCCCAGTTAGGGCCCGGTTCTGTGGTAGGCACGGTTCACGCCTAGGTACTGGGTCACGACGGTCCCAGCTAGGTCCAGGTAGGCCTAGGAACCGTCGGTTCAGTTTAGGGTCCGGTAGGGCTCGTTTAGACCCCACCAGACCCAACGGCTAGTTGTTTAGGCTAGGTACCGGTCCATTGGTAGGCCCAGCCGGCGGTGCAGTTTTGGGCGCCACTTTTCAGATTCAAATCGGATCTGAACCGTTGGGCCCGATCAACGGTCCAGACCCGAAGGCACTCAGTAGGACTGAGGCCGACCCAGCACTATATCAGCTGGGTACCAGCCTCAGTCGGTAGGTTGGTAGATATGAGGTTAGCCTACGCGTTAGTCTTCAGGATTAGCGCAGCGCTTCAGCATTAGCAGGATTAGCGCAGCGTTTCAGCGCTAGCAGGAGCAGCGAGGAGAGAACGAGCGTAGCCGCAAGGAGGAATCACCGGCCCAGCATGCGGCCCAGCGCCAGCCTTACCGCATCAGGTATCCGGGAGGAAGGTCACACCTTTCCTCCCTCCACTTCTTCCTCCGCCTCTCTCTCTCTCTCTCTCTCTCTCTCTCCCCCCCCTACCCTTTAGGTCTAAGTCTACTCTACTGGACCACTCTGAGTATGAAGGATGGTGACGAGTTCTGATGACAGTTGAGATAGTAGCATTGAGACATCGGTTGAGGAATGCTTCGGGATCCGACTCCATCTACTTCTGAAGGTGTATCTGGATATTTGGAGATCGACATCTGGGACACTGTGAGACTCTGTATTCACGACATTCCAGATTTGCACTACTTATGACATTTGAGATACTATTTTTGGATCCATGGTGTTGACGTCATTTCCCTCTCCTCTTCCTTTCGTCTCCCCTGTCCCTCCATTCGTCCGTGTATGATCTCAGACCCTGGCCTGTTCTTCCGTGTCCAAGGCCAGGGCTTTCACACCACTGATGCATGATGAGAGTGTGNTGTATGATCTCAGACCCTGGCCTGTTCTTCCGTGTCCAAGGCCAGGGCTTTCACACCACTGATGCATGATGAGAGTGTGTCGTTGCAGTCTGAGTATGTGTATCAAGTCTTCCGCTGTATTTGTATTCACTCTGTATTATCTGGTCGGTTCTGGGAATCTGCGCCATACTTATGACTGTGTTTCCCAAATTGCTTTCGTAAGCTTCCTTTAGAGAGTTAAGCCTGTTCTGGAAAATCAGAGTAACTTAGGCCTTTAGGATTGAAAAAGAAAAGAAAAGAAAAGAAAAAGAGCATGGCATATTTTCAACCTGCACTTGCTTTTGCAATATGCTATATGTGGGGAATGCTGTGAATTTATGTCATTTGTTACACTGCAAGCCTGCCTGCCTGCCCTCCGCTGGGATGACGTGGTAAGGTTGGCGGGTGCTGGGGTTTCAGAACCACTGCCAGATCTAATATCTTGCCATGATTGTTAACTTGCAACTTGTACACTGTACAGTAATGGTTGACTATCAAAATCATTAAAAAACCCTCGACCACGTATTAAAATCATTAAAAACCCCTCGACCACGCCAGGCAGGGACACAAAAGGGATACATCATATGCCGCCTCGGGAACAGGGGACTGGGGAGGTTGAAGAGTGACAAAAAGAGACTGCGAGGGAACAAAGACTGCAATTACACACAATACAAACCTCCCTTGGAACAGGGGCTAGGGGGATATGGGAACAAGGGTGATGGTGAGGGTACCAGATACCATGGGACGGTAAACTCGCTCACAATTTCAAAGGGCACATAATCGAGTATGGCAAGGGAAGGGTTTATGCAGAACAGGCGATGCCGGGTCAGGGGGGTAAGGGTAGTTAGGCAGAGTATAGCACGATCTCAACGGAAACAGGACCAGAGAAGCTCGGAGCAGGAGAAGGGATTACAGCCCTTTACAGGAACGAAAAGGGTTGGCGAATCGCCCAAGAAGCGAGTTCTGGCTGAGTAAACAGGGGGGCAGACTTGAGTGTACAGTCAAAGGGACGTTGGGACGGGTTTCCAGCATGTGCCGAATGAGAGCGGAGCCATCACGATAGGGCCCTTTACTGGGCTAGGGTTCGTATTTCGGTCCGAGGATGGCCACCCTCGCAGATGTCCCTCCCCCCCCCAGAAAAAAACAAATCCCGCAACCACCAAAGCATGACCCCCATCACCATAGGGTCCCTCTACCGGCCAGGGCTCGTATCTCGGTCCGAGGAAGGATGCCCTCACAGACAGGGTTACCCACCCGAACGTCCAGGGAGGGTCTCCACCCCTCCCCCGAATGTGACGGGGAGAACTTCCCAAAGTTCGGCCCCCACCAAAATTGTTTTGGTGTCTAAAAAAAATATTTTTTCTTTGAATTGTTTTGGTGAATTCGATAGCGTGAAGGGTACATGCCTATAAATTTCCAGGGCATTTAGCTAATCCAAAAAACAAAGAAAAATCACCAGAGATGGTGATGTCAAAAATGTGCTCTCCCACTCACTATTGATTTTTTTCCCTTTTCCTTCAGTGTGTCTGTGTGGTAGTGTGTGTGTGTGGTGTGTGTGTGTGTGTGTGTGTGTGTGTGTGTGTGTGTGTGCATGTGTGTGTGTTCGGTCGATCGATCGAGAGAGAGAGAGGGGGGTGCAGGGAGTCCCACACACACTAACGTGCAGAGTCTTTTTTTTTTTGTTCTATCCAATAATCAATCAATGATTTATCTGCAAGGAAAATGAGCAATAGCGAGATGACAATATTCAGATTGCACAATCACATTGAAAGCCAGATCGTATCACAGTGTTCAGAAAGCAGCATTGCACCAATATGACACCAATGGAGAATCGTAACACTGAAAACCAATATCAATGAGAGCTTGATCTCGCCACCACCAACATATGTATCCAGGCCCTTCTCCCTACTTGGCGCTCGGCGCCCAGCCTACTCCCTACACAGCTACTACTAGCCTACTAATAGACAATGCAACTGTTGACGTCAGCAGCCAACAAAGTACTTGAAGATGTCGCCGGTAGCAGACCATCGCCAATACCAGGTATGTGCCCTCACATCATCATCATCATCATCATCATCATCCTTCTCTCTCTCCCTCGTCTTACACCCACGTCTTCCTTCTGTACACCCGAAGACCACCCCTGCGCCTCACTGTAGTCCAAGCCCATCCAGCTATGGAGGCTGGGCTATGGCGCTGCCCTCAGCAGCGCCCTCACTCACACACGACCGCACGTGCTTGCACCTGAAACGGTTTTCACCTTTTAGCAGTGGCGGATGCAGTACCCAGGGTTCGATCCCTAGACCTCACCCTACCCATGTACAGTATCTGTGTAGACCCCGAGAATTGAACCTGTRACCTGKGTATTCGTAGGCAGTTGGTAGGCCTGTCGTAGGTCCATAGGCAGCAGGGGTTCGATCTGTAGGTCTATAGCGTAGGAGTCTTAGTGAGTTCCGGAAGCTTAGCTGTAGACCTTCTAGAAGGTAGGCAAGTGGGCAAGTGGTCAAGTGGAGAGGCAAGTGGTGGACTAAACCGCAGTGCAACAGCAGTAAAACGTCGGTAGGATAGCGGTGAGTCCACAGTCAGTCAGCGGAAGGTCCAGTCAGTCCCAGTCCGGTCCAGCAAGTACCACAGGTGGACTGTGAGCACCAAGGGCCGATGGCAAAGGGCAGACCAACGAGTTTCTGAAGTATAAATCGAGAGGCAGCGCCCAGCCATTCATTCGTTCCTGCGTGAGCCATGCGGAAGCGCTGCCACAGCGACTTGTGCAAGGAGGTCTGCAGATGAGCCCGGAGGACGCAGTGGGCTAGAGAGAGGGAGTTAGCATAGCGATAGGTTAGATGCAGCGATAGCTGCCATAGCTGTAGTTAGTAGTGAGTGTGTGTGTGTGTTCGAGTGTTAGAGTGATGCGTGTGGGGTATCCAGGGTGATCCAGTGTATGTGAATAGTGAGATGTTTGGGCGCTGAAGTCGCCATAGCCATTTGAGAGTGAACTCGTGTCTGAAAGCCACATCTCTGACTTTTGAGTGGGCGCATGTCGCCAGTATGCTGCGTTGCTGTTTACATGCATGAAAAGTGTGTTTGAGAACGAGTCTGATTGCATTGGTATCGGAGCTGGTACCCGCTACTCCATGCGCGCCGTCGTATGCAGGGCCTGATGCGCCATAGCCGAGGTGGCAGTCGAAGGAGATAGTCCTCCATAGCGGACCTGAGATTGAAGAAGCCGCCGCGCACCTGCAAGAAGACCACGACGAAGAAGAAGACCGAGAGAGAGAGAGAGAGAGAGAGAGAGAGAGAGAGAGAGAGAGATACAAGATTGGG